TGAATAAACGATGATCAAAAAAATAAATATTCAAGTGAGTGAAGAATAAACAACATTTTTGAGTGGGAAAGAAGAAAGCTGCATTACCCTACCAAATATAAATAAAAATACATTATGAGAAATGTTAGCGGAATGAAATCTGGAGGTACACTAACTGGATACAGGAAACAAATTAGGAAAAATGAAGAAGTACCAGAAGCAAGAGATGACGGGGAGGAGCAAGGTAATCACTGATTACAGAACAGATGAGCCGAGAAGAGAGGTAAGACTGGTGTGTTCGAGGAGCATGCGGCTGAAGACAGATTCCGGATCAGCAACTAGTAGAGATGGCAGCCCGGTTTCCACGACTTTGCCAGCATCCATAACGATAGCCTGATTGCAAAATTGCAGAACTGAAGAAAGTCTATGGGCAATAAACAGTATTGTGGAGCCCCGAAATTCTCGATCTAAAATTTCCTGTAAAGTTAGGGGGAGACAGTAAATAAGAAAGATGATGAAGCGAGTGAAAATGATCATAAGTAATTCTAGAATCATATTCTATTAGCAAAAGCCCATAAGGTGATATAGAACTTGTAGATGAATCTTCTCAAAATAAATTGAGTAAAATTCACAATTCCATTAAATTTAGCATTGCCTTATCTCTCAGAAGACCTTTTTGTACAGGACGGACTGTAGTTTCGTTCTGGCATAATATCCGTAGTAGCACTTGTTGACACAAATAGGTTCCGAATCCAATTTAGCCTACGGGAGACCAAAATTGTGTTATATCCTGGATGAAAAATCATTTTGGGAGGCAAGACAATGCAAGCTTTAAAGACATCTACTCGTCCTTTTAGAGGGTGAAATTCAACATGTCGGTCCTACAATATCTTATGCGACTTAAGCTGAGTAAAGCTCTTACTTAAGATTTGCTGATACTATCGAAGTCCATTCACTAAGTATTACTTTTTTGCAGCATAATTATGCATGACAATTATACATCAAAGGATTTCTACTGATAAGGTCAAGTGCCTTCCCAGCTTAAAGCATTGAAAGGTGCAATTCTTATGAGTTTTCCTGGCACTTTTATTCACATTTATTGGCTAAGGACGGTGGCAGATAGGATGCAGGACCGTGTGAGTACCGCAAGAACATACGCAGATCTAGTTACGCTCTCATAAGTCACCAAGTGAATAAGCTCCCGATCACATCAAGCATTGTTACTTGGTTGAATTGTTAAACCGTTTTGGTGTTTCGGGTTCGTTTAGAGGCAATTATAAGATAGTTCATGTACGGAATAAGGGTGAGCAACAGATGATTATATAGCAAAGCTTACATATATAAACTTTTCTTTTTCCTCATCAACCGAAGACGTCACCTCGTCCAGACAAATAATTGCTGGCTCAGTCAACTCTGAAAGGCATATTGCCTGATCCTGTTGTTCATAAGAATCGACCGCGCGTACACAAGATGGCATATCCTTTGTAGCTGGTTGAATCCCTTGGTCATCCAACCAGATTGGCGAGACATCGGGGATAGGAAACCCTTGGTAGCTGGTTGGCTGTTCGGCAAGTATGTTGCCTTGGTCAGGAGAAGCTTGTTTTAATATACTACACTGGCGGGGCTTTCTAAGCCTTTTTGCACGATTTGCAAGTATTATTCTAGCCAGACAAACAAGTTGCCTCTCTCCGGACGACAGACAGTGCCCTGACTCCCCGACATCACGATCCAACAAAGAGGAGGCTTGGGAGGTGTCGTTGGCCAGCCTACAGATTTCCAAAACTTCCAAGATCTCTGCTTCTGAATATATTCTGGAAATAAAAATTGGATTCTGGTGATGAACTTGCGATAAAATGGCTCATTGGGCGAATAATTATATGCGAAATTGTGTCTTATTGATTTAAGGAACAAGTTACTATATAAAAAAGTGGTTCCGTGAGTGCATTTCAAGAATTTTTGTGAAATGAAAAATAAAGGAAAAATGTGTCTTATCGCTAAGCCCAGGATGACAACGAAGTCTGAAGAAACTGTGGGTTAAAGTTAAATCCATATACTTTGCTAGCACGCTTAATATAAATAAGTCATAAACAGGCAGAAGGGTAATCGCAAAAGACACTTTATCACATGATTTAAGTAAGCTACGATAAAATAAAAATCTCCTTATTCTTCGAGACTACCAGTAAATCAGTAATATGAGATGTATTCATCCAATTTCGTTTAAGGTGATAAAGGATTGGTAGTTGAATTTTTCTACAAGGATATGAGTAGAGCGGACGTTTTCATTGAATTTCACATAGCCTTGCTTTCCCAAACGGTGTTCTCATCCACTAAAGAATAAGATATTGGAAATGGTTGGCCTCCTTTGAAATTCACATCTACCCTGTGATCCAGGGTCCCTCGTGGCAATATGGCGTAATGGTTAATAGGTCGAGAGAATACGCTAAAATGTCATGATTCGAGTTCCGCTGGGAGTGTTGATAAGACCTTGGCGAAGTCGGAACTGCAGTCCACCTTGGATGAGAATACCTTTTTGGAAACAAGAATATGTGAAATTCAATGAAAAAATCAATTTTACTCATATCAGTGTGGGATAATTCAACTACTAGTCTTGCATCACATTGCACGAAATAAGATAAATACATCTCATATAAAAATCTTTTGTTAGCAAAATAAAATTTCATGAGATTTAATACGGTACTGGTCAACTGAGACTAAGCAAAGATATGGTCTGACCCCATTTTGGCAATTTGGTCAAGTTGTCGCGAAAACTTAGTTGGACACATTTTGTCCTTACTCCTTTGCTATAGTAGTTATCATATTTACAAGCGTCGGACCGTGGACTTGGTAAAAATAACACTCTTCACAAATCTACACACGCAAAATGAGAGG